AGGATATCTTGTAGAAAATCCCATATAAACCCTTATAATTCGATGCCGTGTTGTGTTGCTTGTGTGGTTCATAGAGAGAGCTTGGGCTGCCTGTGATGTGCACGCGCTATAAAAGGACGCGAAAATAGTGCACAGTAGGGATGCGCAGTGCAATACTAAGGAATCACCTTAAGTGGATAGCTGCTTTTACAAAGCAAACGGCTCCTTTAGGAACCACCACATTAATAAAAGCAATGGCCAATCGATCTATTGGAATATTTTACAACTCCGACTGGTAGTTATCTAAATTTAGCAAGATCAAAGGCATTTTCAAGTGAAACGAGAATTATAACCCATCCATTAATTTTGGCGCGATTTAATTGGTTACTTTACGTCACGTGGTGAAAACTCACAGGAAAGTTATCACGCAATAACCCCCGCCTGCTTCGATATTTGTCCCCCAATTGCTTCCGTCGAAGAGAAACAGTCAGCACAAGAGTTTCAAATTTAACCTTTCTCTTATTTTACATGGAAGGAAACCAAACTCGCTTTGTTGAGTGTAGTAGCCATAGTGGCATTAAATAGCTGGTCGCAAATGCTGTTCCGGAAAGTACATCAAGTTTTTGAGTTTTTGATCTAAGGGGCGTTACGAGAGTTAATTTCACATGACAGCTTGTTAAGTTTTGGTCCAATCACAGTGGAAATAAAGTTGGTTAAACCAATCAAATGTACTTGCTTGCTTAAGTCAATCACGCGCATTCGCCATGAGATCACGACTGGCTTTTTTACCATGTTTACGAACGGTTTAATTGTGATATGAAAATTAATGGAAGGGTTATAAAATAAATAAACTCCTTTCTGGCTTGCTGGTATGTCGGCTGATAATGTCCTTTGCTGAGAGATTGTCCTGAAAATTTCACATTTGCCCTCGAAGCTTGGCTTCTCGGCCAAATATTCATTTTTCGGACAATCTCTCAGCCGCGGACATTATCAGCCGACATAACAGCCGCCTGAAGGGGTTTATTTACTAAATAGTTCGAAATAGCTGATAGTGAATAGACTTTGCACGGCCTCGCTATTTTTCAACGCACGTGAAAGAAAAAGTGAGCATAGCGAGCGCGAAGCACGCGGGGGTGGGGTCCGGGAGCCCCTGTCAAGTCTCCCGTTTCGCGCTGTCGTCCAGTTGTCTCGCAATTCTATCCGCGCGTTCAACGATCGAATAAAAATACGAGAAAATAGAGGGCTGTAAACAGTTTCCTTTCAATACTAGATGGGCGTCAGTAGAGAAAGAAAAAAAAATTAAGAAAAAAACATAGAAAGAAAGTGTACTTTACTCAAAAGAAACAGCTTTGATCAATACCGAGAATTAACCCTAACCCATCTGATTATCCCAACTTTTATTTTCAATCAGTGAAAAAAGACGCGCTTTTGCGCTAATTATAAATGCACATCAAGACTAAGTCACACTAAATTTTGCGTTAGAATCTAGTATACCCAAAGAGGCGCCTCGCTAGGGCCTTTAACTCAAAATTATTGATAGATATTGGTACAGTGAGTTTAATAGGGGCGGCAGTATGGTTAGTTAAGGTACCGCTTGGGACGTCGGGGACTCTGGAGATGTCGAAGTTGTTCCCTGTGTGCTCCTAAAGAACGTCGGCAGTCTCCATTCCAAACTTGTATTCGATTTCCCTTACAGATTATTTTAGAGCAGCCTTCCTTGTAAATAACTTCTCCAGGGAGGTAAAACTTGTCTCCGGGGATATTGCATCCTTCTGGGGAAGAAGGAGGAGCGGCTCTTGCCTGGGTTTGTACATTGAGGAGAAGAACCGCTAGTCCGGCATAGAACGCAGCCGAGAAGAATGCCATGATCTGAAAGGAGAGAAAATCAAAAGGAAATCGAGATTCAAGGCCTGCACTGTTGACGGCAAATACTAGGGACCTTGAGAAAACCGGGACGGTAACGTCAATGAGAACAGCCGTACATCTCCGTTATCAATCTCTGTATATTTCTTAGCCGTCCTATGCAAGTCAACAACGTGAAATGACAAAGGTCTGCGTATTTTGGAGAAAGCGAACGACGGCAGCGAAGTCTTCGTATTTTTATTTGGATTTCAACGAAGGCATTTCGTAGTATATATTTCTGAGACCAACAGGTGAACTGAACAGATCTAGACAATTGTGAAAATCGAATGTAAAATATAAATTCATTTTTTACTAGGCGTTGTCCTCGGGGTTGCCGTGGTCATTGCTTAAGCTCCCTGCTAGTACCGTAGCTTTCGGTCGATGAGATTGTTGCCAGTTACATGTTACAGTACAGTAGAACCCCATGAAATATGAGAAGCCAACGCGAGAAAATTTCCCGCCCGTGGCGGAAGAAACAGAAAAATTGAAAACGCCACTTCATATTGCCAAACTTACCGGCAAACAAGCATCCTTGAAATTTAGTTTTAACTAATCTTAATTAGTTATCAGTGAGAAAAGAGCGGGTAATCGAAATGATTGAATTTGAATTTACTTAATTTCTCCAACCAAGCACTTTTTCAGTGCTCTTAGACCGCATTTGCCCCGCGCCACCAAGAATGAGAAAAAAGGAAAAACAAGGAAAGCGAGAAATCGAGAAGTAGGAATAGTTTCAGGTACCTTGACGGTACTCACATATAGGAAACACTTTTCAGATTGGCGAGAACCAACAAATCCATCATTAACCCGCACGTATTCTTTGTTTGCTATCGCGCACTGATTTAAATTCTTAGCCATGTATGACCTGATCGGTATTTTGAAACGACTATGATTAGTTTTATAGTATTAATTCGATTCACCTGTGCTAAAGTGACTCTTCTGTCTTCTTTTGTGTTTCACACTGTCGATAGAGTATTCTCTAATAAACTGGGTTGCTCAGCTTTTCTTAAACTACGTCATTGGGGCAGCAAGGTAAACAGATGTAAACCTGAGTCACACATACATGATGTCTTGGACACCTCACCTTCTTTGCAAGAATTTTGTGATATCAATGTTGAACGCGGCTTTCGTACAGTGTGTACTTCAATAGACAAATAACAAACAACATCGGTTGAATAAATTTCGTTGCTATCGAAATGTTGAGTCCTCAGATTGTTTTTTCGATGTTCAATACCGCGATAGGCTCACTGGCTTAAAAGTAATCTCGAAAATTGTTTTAATGAAGAGGACTTTGAATGGAAAACAAATCATTGTGCTGTGAACTACAGCTAAACATCAGATAGACATCATTGATAGCACTTTCAACAAATTATGTTGATAGGTATGTATTGCCTTGGTTTGAATTTGTTTTTTGAACGGTGGGGACATTTTTTTCAAAAGCTTTTATTGAAGTACAGACCTTCCGACAGCTAGCGAGCTGCAGCTCGCCACAGCTGGCCTATGTGCTGCTTTTTATGTTCTATATTCATGCGCAATTAGATTTCTACGAACGGAAACAAAGTAGAATGGGATGAGAGAGTTTGAAGCGTTTACGTTCGAATTTCAAATCTAAAAGGAGCTTTTGCTCGTTTTTTTTGTCACCCTTGTTTTTTCTACAGAAAATCGTTTCTGTTTTTTTGTGTTCGGACACGCATTTCATCTGTCTTAGGATTGGGCTTATTCCAATTCTTATTTGAAATACACTCTTTTTTTTTCTAATAATAGTATTGTTTTTCCGGCCTAGGCTGAACATTATTATTTTTTGCCAGAATTAGGTTGAAAATATCCTTGTGAATATTCTTAGATTATGGCATATGACATTTCTGTTGTCAAATGTATTTGGTGCCTGGATCGTGTGAAAATAATTTTAGAGTCAGCCTGCCGGGATTCAAGACTTATTGATACAATGCACATAACTTCGTACAGAAATGTTATTAGCATCAAACATTCGGCTAATGCTGTTTTGGTTGCTTTTTGGCTTTTTTCTGCTGTTTACAAAAATGAACAATTTAATACGGTATAGGTTAGGTTTACAAACATAACTGTATTGTAACTACGAATTTTCAACGCACAAATTATATTCTTTTCAAAATCCCAGCCTCAGCCTCAGGTTTATTCTTTAAGTATTCTTCAAATTTTGCAAATTTCAACCTAATTGCTCTTATAGGTGAGGGAGATCATTTATGTCTATTATGTGTTCAGTAAGAACTAATTTACAAATAAATGCAGAAGGGATTTGAATTTATTGCCTTTTTCCTCTCTGGCCTGCTCCGGGGTCTCCTCCCCATTGAAGAAGTGAGATCTGAGGATATAAGTACCCCTGGGTCGATGCCGTTTAAAGTGCTGCAGCTAAATTGCCTTTGATTACCATCTTGGCACTGGAAAGGGCCAATAAAAACTGTTATAAAAAAGGTTTATGGGTGATAACAAATTAGCAAGAGAATCTTACTTACCACAGAGAGACACTAGAAATAGATAATCTAGATATGTTCTGCTTGTGTTACTTTGCAATAATTTATCTATTTTCTTTTAATAATATACTATTTGTTTTCACAGAATTCATCGTGTATAACAGAATTGCAGCCGGGTAGTGATTTTTCTTTGCAATTCTTGAGATTGTTTGTTTTTAGATTTTTCTACAAGTAAGGCAAGCAGTGAATCTTACCAGTGTCAACAGTAAATGAAAGGAATAACCTTGAGAAAAAAATTGTAGACCTGTATTACCCGATGTGGTTTCTCTACTTTGACTTCTATTTCATGATCATAACAAACATGACAACAATTCAACACATTTTCAAACACTGAAAAGAGAGTGCAAATTATAGCAGAGCATAGCCCTGTATTTTTTGATGCAATTTAAAGTGTTTGGTAAGTGGTGAAACATTCTCCCAAGTGTTTGACATATATTGGCTGTTTTTATACTAGAGGACACATTATCCATCCAGACGGCCAATGCATAACGACAAACTGCATCGTAAATATCTGCCAGCAAAGACGATACAGTTCGTAGTGACAGAGTGACAGAAGCACCTTGCTAAGTGAGTGTGGCAGACATCCAAGCGATTGAAATTTACAGTATTTATCCGTCTACTTTAATTTCACCAACATGGACTTCGCTCACCAGCTGCTCGCTCGTGTGGCAATAGAAATCGTGCCTATAAACCACGATGAACATATTCATTTTGTGCTATTAATTTTCCGTTCCTTGCTCGGGAAGCTAAATGCAGGCAAACGAAAATTTAGCATTATGATGGGAATTACGGAACCGGTCTGGAAAAAAAATATATATATTATTACAAAACCAATTGAAACGCTGATCGGACGGCTGAAAAGGGTAAATCTAATGCCCAATATTTCGGTTAGACAGGACTAACCTTCTTCAGAGGCTACACTGAAGCTAAGTAGATATGGATAAAACAGTTACAAAGTTTAAAATGATCCTTAAGGAAATATGAGACATGATTGGTTGACAAAAATAGAGAAAAAGGAAACGTGTACTAAAGCGGATACATAAAAAATGGATTAAATTTCTCCACGCCTGTTTAACCGAGAAGGTTCAAGGGTCTTGCCCTTAAATATCAAAACTGCTTGTCTTGCCTTGCGAATAGCGTCCCTATTTGAGTTGATGAGTTCGAGAGGAACGAGTTCTATGTTGTCCATTAAATGGGCAGGAAGGGTAAAGTGGGGTCAGTACAAAACGTGGACCCCTCCATCTGGAACCCCGACTGGACGCCTTCTGGACCCCCATCTGGACTCCTTTTGGACTCCTTTTGGACTCCTTTTGGACCCATACTTGACCCCCATCTGGACCCCTTCTGGACCTCCATCTGGACCCCTTCCGGACCCCCATCTGGACCCTCCATTTTTCCTCGAGAAAATATGGGCCCTCGATTTAAATTATACGATCAGTGAAGTGAAGGACAAATGGAAAGAATGAGCAAATTCACACAGCATTTCGCATAAAATAACAATTTCAAGGAAAGAAAAGTAAAAAAGGTAAAAGTACAGCATTTCTAGGTGTTACAACTGTGCCATCATCTCTTGAACTTGACTGCTGACTTATTTTCTTGACCTTGAAAATGGAGGGTTTTCAGATTTATCCGTTATTTCAGCGCAAATTGAGACCTACTCCGGCGTAATAAAATTATTAACATTACAAACCAAGGTAAGATAGGTTCATGGCGGCAAATAAGCAGAAAAAATGAGAATAAAACAAGTACTATACAATGTTAACACAGAGTATTACTTTCTTGTAAACTGAAAATGGATGTTGCATCCGGAATATATAAATACGAATTTTAAACACATTGTGTGGTTTCTAAAAGCTATATACCGTAAATCCTCGAATTAGCGCCTGGGGCGCATATTTCAAATTTAGGAGAAGACGGGGGCGCTTATTCGAGGGCGGCGCCTAGTCAAGGGGAGTGCTTATTTTATTTTTTCCAAATCGTGGCCTGACATGATATCATCTGCGCGTAAACAACAACATAATCTGTTTATCGACTTAAAAAGCTGATCCTAAAGTTTAAATCGCGGCACCGTCAACTTAATGTGTTCACAAACTGAAACAATGTACAAATCTAAAAATACACGACGAAAACTATACATCCTTTGTTGTCTCATTACTCGTCCACAAAATGGGGGGAGGGGAGGGGGGTGCTTATTTGAAGGAGGCGCTTACTCGAGGGGGCGTTTGTTCGAGGATTTACGGTAAGGTAGGCATGATGAATGTTCCAAACAAGATGGGGACCATTTAGATCAGAACTTTTCTCTGTCGGAGCTAAATGTATGAAAAGAAAAACACAGTTTTGTGCTACAACCAGGCCGATAATAAATGGCAGTTGCCATTCAATGATTCTAGAAAACACCCACCTCCATTGTCTTCTTTACACGGTCGAGGAAAAATTGGTCAGCGGTGCTTTCGTAAAGAG